AGGTAGGAAGGTAGGAAGGTAGGTAGGTAGGTAGGTAGGTAGGTAGGTAGGTAGGTGTATGTATTCTTGTAGCTACAGACATTTGTCAATCATGTATGCGGGTATCAAAACTTTCATGCCTGCATCAAGGCACACATTCATGCATGCGAGCATGCACATACGCCTTTCTGTGTGTGTGCACGGTATTCAGGCAAGCCCTCTCTGTCCCCAAGCCGTCAAGCCCTGAACCCTGGACCCAGGCACTCCCTACATTCTGAAGCTCGTCTCTGACGATCTGAATTCTGAGACTGTGGCCGGGGAGGATCCTGGGCTGCAAGAGCTCACAGGGCTTGGGCTTCCGGCTTGTGACCACCCAGAGCGGATGGGGTGGGGAAGGACAACCAGACCATAAAGCCCCCGCAGGCGAAGTAGAAAACCTTTAAACGTGGAGGTGCGAATTTGGTACGGTACGATATTGAAGGTGGTTGCGGGCTTCGAGGCTTGAGGCTTGGTCTGACTGGTGCGTCTCTGATGCTTCCGCTCTGCTGACATGCAGGCGGAGAAGAGAGGCATCGACATGAAGTTTGTCGGCATCAATGCAAAGGTGCCGAGTTTCAGAGCTTTAGGTTTATTACTTATGGGCTTTAGGGTTTAGGGTTGTTATTATGGGCTTTTAGGGTCGATTCACCCGCTCCAAGGCTTTGGGGCTTCGGAGTCTACGGATTAGCGGTTCAGAAAGCCCCGCTACGCTGTGAATGTGGTGGAGTTCTCATAAGAGTTTGTCACCTTAAGCTTCAGCGAACCTGCCTTGTGCTCTGGGAATTGCAAAGAGGTGTGCAGGCAATACTGGGGGCAAGAGGGATTGGAGAAAGAAGGACCATCTTGTAGTAGCAGAAGGAGACAGGGATGTGAGGGTTTCTTCCTCCTGGCCTCCCTCAGATTTCTGCTTTATGTCCAACCCTAAACTCCTAAACCCTAAACAGGAGCATGTCCGAGAGTGAGTGCTGAAACCTCCTGTTTCGGTGATGATCGCGTCGATTCGATGGGTCGGCAGCGTACAACTTGCGAGTCTAGGGCCGATAGACATGGGAGTTTCCAATTTTTGTTTAAGGGGTGCCTTATTTTGGGGTCCAGATATTAGGGATCCTACTATGACTACTATATTTAGGGTACTATATGAGGGTCCCCTATGTTCGGAATCCCCCATATGTGTATTCCTTTTTGCTCTTGCTCCTCCAAGTCGTGCCACCAGTAGTAGTGTCAGCGTACCTCTGAAACGGCCCTAAACCTCAAGCCTAATTCACGGGCTTATCGCGTACCCCAGCAGTAGACGAAGCGAGCCAGGATCGAGAGCTGCAGGAATACATCACGAAGAAACAGGCACTTCTCTTGGGTCCGAGGGGCACTGTAATTAGGGTTTAGGGTTTAGGGGTGTCTACAAGGATTCTAGGGCTAAGGACTTATGCTATAGGATTTAGAGTGCAAGGATTCTATACAAGACTTCCAGAGCCTTAGGGTTTCGGGCAGCAGTGGCTGACAGAGGAATTGCTGCCTGGACGTTTTAACACGAAAGCAAGGTTTCGCCATGTGGAAGTGTAGGTGAAACTGTTCTCCATCCGCCTCCATCTTGGCATGTGTTCTACGCTTGCGACCCGCAGTTGGCACGTGCCTTATCCTGGACCGAACCGGGTTTTCTAGTGTAGTATACAAGACGGCGCCTACCACTGACAGGGTTGTCCAGCAGCTTGTCCTGCAGGTTACACTGTTGGGAAGCTTCTGTGATTAGCGCAGGACTTGCTACTTGGACCCTTATACATGCCCCGAAAAAACAAGATGGCGCCAACCTGCGAAAACCGAGACCTGTCAGGCTCTTGTCGTTCTTTCAGCGTCCTTGGATGTCCTTTGGTAGATCAGGCTCAAAGTTTAAGACTTTGGAGCTGCTCTACTTAAAGGACCATGGGACTTAGTAAGTAGGGTTATAATTAGGGTAACTATACTTATAACCCCAATTAATGGACTTATAACCTTATTTACTAAGTCCCATGATCCTCCAAGTATCATTTGACTCACTGATTACGTGACACCCTCAGTTTTGCAAGGGTGGAGCATGGGTGTCGGTAGCATTTGAAACCCTTGCCGGAGACCAGTTTAGGCCCCGACGATGTTTCAACATCCTGACGGCAGAGAAGCTACCTGTAGAGTCTCGGCAGTTAGACATGCGATGTGTAACCGTCCAAAACAGGTCAAACATTAAATGGTGGCTGCACTTACGCCCTGCGGTGAAACTGATGGTTTCTTTCTGGGGCGTAACTTTCCGTGACCGTGAAGGTAACTTTTGGGTCAGGGCTTGGGATCTTTCGCTGGATGAGGTCCGAAGGTCACGAATCCTTTTTTACAGTACTTTGACGGTCTGCGCCTTTTGCATTTAGAGAGGAAGCGCCATAAATAATTTAGGAGCCGCCGTAGTAGCTCGGGCTCGGACCGGAAACCGTTGAAGGACCCCAGCCGCTAACACATCACATCTCTGCTAATCCCTAAGACCCGATAAGCCCCAAACCTATACCCTAAACCCCTGAACCCTGATAATCCCGAATGCCCTTTAAGCCCTAAACCTATACCCTAAACCCCTAAAATCTGCCATGCGAGAGGGAAAAACCCCCAAATCCCTATAGCCCTACGCCCTATAACCCTAAACCCCTAAAGTCCCAATAATCCCCCGAAGCCCTTGAACTCTAAGCCCTATACCCGAAACCCCTAAACCCCTAAACCCTAATCAGGCGGCAGCGTTAAGCCGGGCGGCCGTGGAAGATTGTGTTTTGGCCAGACAAGACTTCTCAGGAGCATTTGAGAAAACTTGTGCATTGAGAAGGCAGAGTACATGGAGTCAATGCTTTTGTATGTTCTTGCTGTCTTTGGCTTTAATTTGTTCTCATTCGTAGGTATGCTATGTTTTTGTTTGCCACATGTCGTGTATACAGTGCTTGCCACGCGCTCAGTGTATGCAGGTCGTGAAAGGCACACGGTACACGCTGTGTGTAGTGAAAACAGGTGCTTATGCGTGACTTGGGCCGTTGGACATGCGTATATGCTTTGCATGCAATTATGCACTCGTACGTTTTGTGCGTGCATGTATGCATGCATGCATGCATGCATGCATGCACGTATGTACACACTCACACACACACACACATATATATATGTATATATATATATGTATGTATGTATGTATGTATGTATGTATGTATGTATGTATATGTATGTACGTACGAGTGAGCTACGTATGTACTGAGGTATTCATTACTTTTACCATGCATTGTTCGCGATTTTTTGTGCGTTTATGGATGTGTGCATTCCTCAGTGCATGGTAGTTGTAGCAGTAGTCAGTTGTGGTAGTGGTAACGGCAATGTATGTATGCACTCATGCGTGTATATATGCATGCGTACATGCATGTATGTTTGTATATGTGCCTCGGTGTGTAAGTACGTACGTACATGTACATGTATATTGTACATGTTTTCATGTGCATCTACCAGTGTTTATTCGTGCATTGTGGTGTACGTGAGGTTCAAGTCAGCCAAGGTTAAGTTGGATAAGGGAGTGTCGGGTAGTCTGGTGTGCATGGCGTGCCATGGCATGGCATGGTAGGGTATCATGCGGCACGGTACGGTGCGGGACGCGATGGTACGACACGTTCTACTACGATTACTAAGCCACCATGATGAAGTACAACAAGCAGCTTTGACCAGATTCTATTCTTGACTCTCTTCCTCACCTCAGCCGCATTACAGCATTTACTGCAAAAGCCCAAGCTCTGGCCGAAACTTGGATGTCCCGTGGTGTTGGCATCCGAAAATCCTTCGGACGCGATCACACAAAAGTGTCCCACTTGGTCGCAGGCTCACTGGCCACGCCTCCAGGGTCACGAACCGCTTTGGGTTTGAGGGGATGCGTTTGGGCTTGGGAATGGGTCAAGGGGTTTCAGGCAGGCTCAAACTTGGATGCGATTGGTACACTCGGAGTACATGTCCCGGTCAATCCGGGAGAAACTAAGCCTAGGAATCGAATCGCTGCTCGAGCTTCCGGAACCACCAGCAGTGGTAGTAGGAGTGGTAGGAGCTAGACGCAGTCGTCGTAGTTATGGTTATAGTTTTAGTCATAGTCGTGTTTGCTTGTCGCAAATTTGGAGTAAGAACAGGAAGAAGCAACCGACGAACGGCAAACAGCGCACCAGACCTACAGCATGAATGACCGAGGCTGGGATGATGTGCTGCATGGCTGCATAGCTCCACTAACAGCCGCAGAGTATTGAGGCACCCTGATTATCTCCGGGCCTTAACCCCTAAAATGCTGAACTCAGCATCAAGTCATGTGGCCCACTGCCACCACCACCCACCATCGTCACCGCCGCCGCTCACTGCCTTTCCCATCATCAACACCACTCCGGCCATCATCACCATCATCATCGCCAGCTAGGCTAGTTGGGGTGTTTTTGCCTCGCTTCCAGGCTCGGGAACTCGTGACGGATGCCGGCTCGCCGCAGTGACGCGCTCCCGCAGCTGGAGAGTCGAGCCCAGAGAAGAAAAGAGCTGAACACAGGAGATTGGTCAGGCTTCGAGGCCCCTTTTGGGTCTATAGAAAGCTCTGTCTGAAGCAGGTGCTCCCAAAAATCAGGTTCAACGAAACCCCCATGCAGAATTAGCTGGAAGGCGGTCCGCATCTTTGAGGTTCGGGGCTGTGGAAGCACTCGAAGATGCGAGGCGCACGAGCGCTCCGTCGATGCAGACCTGCTGTCGCTAGTTCTCAAACTTCAGTGCCTCGGCTTTTCCTTAGTTTCTGGGGTTGGCAACCCGTGTTCAAAGCGACTTGGTTTTAACGCATGTCCCCACGTTCTACAGTCAGCAGTTGCGTAAGTAGTAGGTTTCTTATTCTAGCCGTGTGGGTCAGTAACCCATAGTAATGAAGGTAGTTGGAGCCCTACGGTTTCTCAAGCCTTGCTATCCTTGTGTTGCACAAGTTGCTTGGTACGTACCGTATGCTTGTAGTTCTTCGTGCTCTCAGCCTGCGGCTATGAACCTTAAATCATATGTTATGAGTGTTTGGGGGCGGTGTTTTGTCTTGGTTCAGGCCTACCGGGCTGGAGGGCTGCTTTGAACGGGGCTGCCTGACCGTTTGCCTCGCCGCATGCCGGTCTGCGTGCATACCTGATATAAACATGTATCGTAGAGTCAGAACCTCAAGCCACAGGCCTTAGCCGCTTTAGCCTTGCATCGTAGGTTCGTCCTAGCCAGGCGGGAGGCAAAAATCGCCTTGAATCTGAGGAGCAGGTCAAGACTATGCCGGGTTACTTTCTGATGCCATTTTATGCTATATTATACTTTACTATACCATATTGTACTATTTTATATTATATTATGGCCCCTTCGAGTTGTTGCCCCGTTCGAAGTAGGGAGCCGGGCCGTGCTCTTCTAAGATGAAGCGTGACGGGACGTTCCTGAAGGTCGGTTTTAGTAGCTTTAAGTAGAATGATCGGTAGGAGTTGAGTAGGGTCTGAGAGCTCCCCTAAACAGGAAGCCACAATCCTAGAGCACACCTCAGGCTGCAGCACAAGCTGGCTGACTTCAAGATCGTGATCATGTCCGCAACGCTGCAAGGCGCGAATCGCCCCCCCCCCCCCCCCCCCCTCGCAAGGCACTCAGGAGCCATGCCGTGCCAGCTATGTCTAACTGAATTCTTGCTCGAAACACATGGACAGAGGGACTTCGGACTTAGGGTAGATTGCACTGGGTACTGGTTGCTGTTCTCCTGTACCGGCATGGCAGGACATGGCATATACAATCCTTTGCACCCTTTATAAGCCCCCAAGCAACGCAAGAGGTATGCGCGTACGTTGAAGGGGTCTGGGGTGCGGTGGCGCAGTTGTCCAATCTTTGGTTACACTGTTGTATGCATGGACTGCGGTGCTTTCTTAAACTCGAAGACCATAAAACTCTAAGCCCTAAACTATAAACCCCTAAACCCTAAACCCTAAACCATAATCCCCTAAACCCTAAACCCTAAACCTACCATACCGCGCAGCTTGTGGCTCCCAGCCTTAAGTGGACACAGGAGGGGCTCCCGACCCAAGGTCGGTGAGCCTTTGGCCGATGGTTGCGGGGGGAAGGGGTCTCGGACCGGACATGATATATATATATATATACGCCTGCTTTGTCGAGTGTGAGTGCTAAAATATATATATATATATATATACATAATTATATATATATATACACATGTATATATATGTGATATACACATATGTATATGTATATATATATATGTATATCTATACATACATATATATAGGGGCCTTAGGGTCAGAACTAGAAAAGGGTTGTGGTGGTTCCTTATCATAAGTATAGCATAGTAGAAGCTGAGGGTTCAAAGGTCTCAAAACCCGAAACCCAGCATGCAAGCGAAGTAGGCGGCAACAATAACGGATGCAAGAACGGGAATGAGGGCCGCAAAATGCTTATGTGCTCGAAGTCTTCTCATTTAGACTTTCTGTCTGAAATAGCATAGAGGCTCGAACGAATGTTATTCTGTTTCATTACAGATAGTATTAGAATGTACCCCCAAACCCCAACTTTCCGTTATACCCCTCCCCTCCGAACCGTACTGAGCGATCCACTTCGCGCGCCATGTCGGACCCAGTGCCGTGGCTGCCTGGGTTAAGGGTTGGGGATTCGGGGTTTGTCAGGGTTTGGAGTTTAGGGTTTTAGGGTTTTAGGGTTTAGGGTTTGGAGCACGGTATGGAAGCGCAGTCGTGAGAGCTGAACTTCTGCGGGCTCGGACATTCAGGCGATTGCACAAGTCCTGATGCAAAAAGGGCTTGGAGTCGAGGGTTTTCGGGGTTTCAGTACGCGCTGTGCGGGGTTGCGCAGTCATGAGTGCCGCACTCCTTCACGGCGACGGCAGTTCCGGACAAAAGCCTGCTGCAAAAGGGTTTCAGTGGCTTACTTGGAGGTTCATGGGTAGTTATAAATGGGGGTATAAGTCCCCTAATATGAGATATAAGTATAGTTGCCCTATTTATAACCACATTTATAACTACCCATGAAACACCCAAGTAGGGTTCACAGAGCTGACAGACTTTTGAGCTCTCAGCCGGATATTTGTGGACCCAGTGTCATGTTTGTGGGTTTAGGGTTTAGGGAGGCCTTACAAAGACGCTCCACAAGTTTAAGATAGCCTGAGTCGAAGCCTCCCCGTGAACGGGGCAGTCTGTCAGCCAGGTAGTGGTACTATTTCTTTGGGGTTCCCTTATTCTGTTCGTACTAGCAAAAGCCTTAAAAAACCCTAGTCTAACTGTTCAGGCCCCTACATTAATGCAGCTTTCGCCCAAACTGTACACCTGCATAGCGGACTTAGGCTAGGTAGGTACTGTAGCCGACTGTAGCCTTTCAGTTTCTTACGCAAAAACATAGCCCTGTCTTGTAGTTACAAGGATAGCTTTTTTTTTGAACTAGGGTACTCAGCTCTTCGTAGAAATTCCTGAGGCTGAGTGATTGAGGACGCTCCCAAAAAGTAATCGCATGCTGACAGCCAAGGCAGACGGCTCGCAGAAGGTCCAGGCGTGGCCGTGGAAAGCAAGCTTTGTTATGGTGCTTGTATGGTTATTGCAAGTTTTGCAGGATTTATAGCGTCGTTATGGGGTCATTCAGACGGCCGGACGAGGGCAGAGCAAGCGAGCAAGCAAAAGAAGCGCACACGCATGAAACCGCAAATGCCTGATTCCTTGCAGAGCCCGCGCACCTAGCTTCGGATTGTGGTACCTGTGCTCTTCTTCATGCTGCACCGCATCCCTTCCATTCCACCTTCCCTTCCCATTCCGGAGGCACATCCTCTCCAGGTTTGCGAACTCACGACGGCTAGTTGCATGCTACTGGCCTAAGAGTGCGCCCCTACCCCGCCAAGGCCCAAAACCCCCACACAGACACCTGCAATCAAGCATAGTTGCGATTGCCGAAACTCCAGTTCCCTGAGCCACCGCGATTTCGGTGTTTCAGGGGTCACTGCGCCCGGCCTAATGCCGGGTCAGCTCCCCGTATATGTTAGGGCAATCTTCTTAGTCAGAGCCCCTTCTCCTTCTCTAAGAGTGCCGCACCTTTTGTGGGATCCACCCTAAACCCTAAACCCTAAACCCTAAACTCAGCAAATAGCCGCAGGTTAGCCCTGGCCATAGTTTCCCCCCGAGCCCACATCTGAGAGGAGGACAGGCAGCGGAAGCCCAAAGTAGCTGAAGCTCAAAGCCCCGCACCTTAGTTCGTCATTCAAGCCAGGTGGGGTCATGCTCCGTGATGTCATTGATCAGTTGAGGATTCGTCCAGTGTAAGCGGTCTCGGAATTCATCTGGATGTCGTTGTGTTCCTGCCTGTCCGACCTTGTCAAGCAATGCAGGGGGAAAAAAGATGAGGATTGCGGAAATCCGTAAAGCATCGGAATGACCCTGACAAAAAACCCTGACCAAAACTCAAAGCCTTGAAACCACCGATCGTCCTGACCTGCCGGAGGTGGACCGTGCCGCAGAGACTTCGATCATTTTGCGCTCTTTCGCCGGTATCGAATCGCGGCATCTTGGCCTGCGTTAGACTTTTCTTGAGGCTTTCGGACTTTGTTAGAGTGTAGGGTATTGGGGCAGGCAGGTATAACGTAGGGCGGCAAGATGTACATGTAAGGCTCATGTAAGGAGGTATGCAGACAGGCTGGGGCTCTACCAGACGAGGCTTCGGGGCTGGACGAAGTTACGAAGTTCTGCCGGCTTTCAGGGCTGCGGGTCTAAGGGCGCTCCTCACTCCAGAGACCTCTAGGGATCGACGGCTTGCGGGTTTAGGGTTTAGGGTTTAGGGTTGGATGACATTTCTGGCGTAAAGATCTATGTGCCGAGAGCCTTTCGAGAGGGTGAGTTTGCCAAGGAAGCTCGGCTCATTTTCGGCCGTCACGTCTAGAAAACCAAGGTCAAGCATACTGCTGGTGGGCAACATCCCAAAATTCCATGATGAGAATATATACCTACTCTACCAGATTCCCCTAATCAAGGGTACCAGAAGCACTGCAAGATTGGGTCCATCAGTTGTAGTCGGAGACTCCAAGCACAAAGCCACTATTCTGACCGACTCAGGCCAGAGAGATCAGCCCCAAACGCCTCGGAGAAACCTGACACAGCAACATTCAACAAAGCTCAAAATACAAGGGAGGGTTCTGGGTCAAAGGCTTGCGTTAGCGCTTTCCGGGTGTAGGGCTCCGGGGGTTTAGGGTTTATAGGACCTTAGAAGTCTTAGGAGTTCCAAGACCCAGGAAGTCCTCCAGCCCCTAAAAGCTGAAAGCCGAAGCCCTAGGCTGGATGAACTTGCCGAGCAGGCCCAGTGTGTTGGGGAAGGGTTCAGTCAAGTTTGCTTGGCAGGAAAGAGCGTCAGACTCTGCCTTTGACACATGAACCTGAAGGTAGATTTCAGCAACATGGATGCTTCGAGCGAAAGTGTCGAAAGCTTTGCAAGCTGTGGGCTCACGGACGTAGCACGAAATCCAACAGCCTTTCTGGCTGCATCAATCAGTCAAAAAGGCCAAGGAAGATGCTTTGTATAGCGAGGATCTTCGACAGGGGCCCCACGCATCATGTACAGGCCCTCAGTTGTCAGGCCTTCATGGCCTGGGGACGCCCGCCAGCACTCCAAGCGCTTGTACTGGCAGTGTACCGGAAGCCCAGCAAGCTCCGCCAGCCTGAGGAACCAAAGCTTCAACCAACAACTTGTACTTCTACCTATAGTCTCCATTGTAGTTCCTTTCTGCGGATACCTTATAGAATCCTTAGTACATATTTGGTTAAACAAAAAAAGGAACTATAATGGAGACTATAGGTAGACTCAGTCCCTCAGGTGGATGCTTGCCTGCAGGAGCTGCCTCTTAGCTGCACGCAGTGATTCCGCCTGAGGCTCGAGAACAGCTCTGACGGCAAAAGCCATCTCTAGTTGCCGGAGTGCAAGCCCGGGACCCCGAACCAATTTAGACTTCTGCATTATAAGGTATATATTCGAACTAACACGAAGTAGCCTTTAGACTTTTGTATTTATTAAGGTCTAAATTCGGATCCCATTCAAAGCAGGTTATGGCAGGTTAAGATAGGCGGGTCCTGCTTGCGGCATGTTTCGTGTCGAAACCTCGAAGGGGTAGCAAGTTGCCGAAGCGTCCTCTCGGGAGCTAAGCCCGGATTCGGGTTTTGCTGGGTAAAATCTGCTGAGAATGGAAGAAAGGACGGTGCTAAGTGCTATCTAGTACTCATCATCGCCTACTCGTGCTGAGAGTGTAAGGCGCTCTGAGCCCCCGCGGAAACCGAGGTTGGGATTGAAAAAGGCTTCCTCCTATCGGCACAAGCGGTCAAGTCACCGCCATCGGGACACCGCGCCTGTGAGCATCTTCGGGGATGTAAGAGCTGATGCAGTATTCAGGGCTTTATGTGTTTAGGGTTTAGGGTTTAGGGGCTTTATGTGTTTAGGGTTTAGGGTTTGGTTATAGGGCTCAGGCCCAAGGATGACATGGGGGCTTAGGCCTCCGAAGGTCTAGCTCCTAGTCAGCTGGAAGTAAGATAAAGTGGGCTTACGGTTTGGGGTTTAGGGTTTGGCTTATAGGAAGTAAGATAGGTGGTTTTAGGGTTTGGGGGCTATCTCATTTGGCCAGCATTGAGCTAGCTACGACTTTCATTCATTGCTGGCCTGCTCAAGAGGCTTGCTGGCTCAACTCGTACCTTGCTGGATCAACGACCGGGTTTTAAGCAGGGACGACGTAGAGCTGTTTAACTAGGTGCTCGGGTTCGTTGTGGAGAATTTTGCCGATGGCTTCTGCACCGAGGCAAGCTCACGCAGCGGCTATCTTCAAGCAGAAGCTGATAATGTTCCCTTATAGTGTCTATATCAATTATATAGTAAAATATCATCCGGAGCCCTCTTCTAATTATTAAGCCCCTACGTTTGCACCAGAAGTTGACACCGGAAAGTTCAGGTGCTTCCCGTGATCCCTTCGGATCGCCCGACTTCGGCACCTGAATCGGAGCCCGTCTGCCTCCTGCACACGCATCTGGACCTGCGTGTTTTTTTGGGATGTAGGGCTTCAGTTTTCAGCAAATTTAGAAAACCTTGCTCAGTCATCCTGTCAAAATGGCCCTACAGTACCTACAAGATAATTTTGACGGTGCATACTAGGGTTATTTGCTCGTTTTCTGGGACCACTGATTATTTGGAGAGTGGTTAGGGGTATGCTCTTCCAGGCAGTCAAGCCGGCGATCATTCCCGGGCTGTTGGCAACGGAAACCACTCTAGAATTTAGGCCTGGTGTGCCGAAGTCGTGATTGTAATCACAAGTGGGAAAATTGCATTCAACATCACCTATCTGTCTGGCCATGGTTGAACCTGTCCTTACACGCAGAACCAAGTGTAGCTGAAAAGCCACGCAGAACCAAGTGTAGCTGAAAAGCTATACGATAGGGGCGTTTATGATTAGCAGGGGTTTCAGGTACACTGTACCATTGTAGGGATAACAAGGGGATATCAATACTACTGATTCAGACCTCTAGATATGGGACTGCCGGAAGGCTCAGGGCCTTCTTGACTTTCCTCGCCCGGAACGATGGCGTTTAGGCTGTGCGATAGCGGCCTGAAGGTTAACTACTTTTGCTTGTTCCATAGGGCCCCTCCACCATAGCCGTACTTTAAGATCCTGTTCGCGGTCCCGATATGCAGTGGCCCAAGCCCACGAGCGTAGTCTCTGAACACAGGTGCATATTGCTTGAGTCTTGAGGCATAGAGCCTATCTAAAGCCCGATGTTCTTGTGGCGCTTAAGTATGGGTGTTTCCGAAAATAGGGGACCCTAATATAGTACCCTAAATAGTAGGATCCTTATTATAAGAACCCCAAAATAAGGTACCCCTAAATTTCGGAAGCGCCCGTATAATAAGTGAAGGTGTCGGGCCTAGTGCTCCGCCGGGCTGGGGCCTTTGATTATCCCACACCCTTCAGCCGCAGCTTCTGTTTCCATAGAGCCCACGGTTTAGGGTTTAGGGTTTAGGGTTTAGGGTTTAGGGGCCATAGGGCCTATACCACCAAAGGCTAAAGGTGCTGGCGCAGGGTCCAGGTCAAACCTCAACCCCAAACCACTAAGCCAGTTTTTGCGGTCCCGGCAGTCGGAGCCTCGTCCCGAAATCCAAGCTTCGAAACCGCAATTTCGATCCTCCAGTGGCGGTTTTGCCGGATCTTTAATCATATTTCGGAGTTTCCGAAACAAGGGGTACCTTAGTTTGGGGGTCTTTATAATAAGGACCCTACTATTTGGGGTACTACATTAGGGTCCCCTATTTTCGAAAACCACTATTCTGGATGGCTTCAGCAAAGTTTTCTGGTGTTCAAAAAAGGCAGCAGCCGGGGAGTGTGCCCCGTTCTTCCGTGCCGAAGCCCAGAAGTCGCCGCCGGGCAAAGTCAGGAGCATAGGGTTTGGTGCTTTAGGGTTTAGGGTATAGGGTTTAGGGTTTAGGCTTTAGGGTTTAGGGTATAGGGTTTAGGGTTTAGGCTTTAGGGGTTTAGGGATACTAATCAGAGTAGATATTGTATCTGTATGTAAGTACCAGGAGAGGGTGTTATTGCCAACTATTGGGGTTCATGGCCAGGGGCCAAAGGTGTTCAGGGTCCTCCGATAAAATTGGGGGTTTAAGGTTCAGCATGTGCCGAGTATGAGAATCAATCAACTGAATTCCAAAGTCCCCCAAACCACAAACATGTGGGCATGACGCTCCTGGAACACTACTGTGGAGCGGCCTCAGGCATATTCTGGTTTTGTATCTCAGAGTTTAGGAGTTCAAATTAAGCAGCTGAGCAAATACTCTGGCCTGGCAAGGGCTTGCCCTGCGATTGCTTCAGGGTAAGCTCATCATATCTTCTATGACCTTGCTTTCATTTTATTCCATGTACTTTCTATCCGTCTATGTCGTATTAATTAAGGGTTAAAGTTGCAGCACAATTACAGCTATATCTCATACATGTATGCGCATGTCGTTCTCATTTTAATGCCAGCTTCGGGTCTACAGCAAGGCAGGTAAACAACAATCATGTATTTCAGGTACTACAATATAGAGTTTTAGGGATTAGCCGGAACATTTATTAATCATTTTTAGGGTTCCTGATAACAACTGTAGCAGAATATACAGCCCAAAACCCTATTGTAATTTCTATGGCCCCTTTTCTAGGGAAGCCCAACTTCTTTCAACAAACTGGGTGCCCAACATCGAATCCCGGATGTTCAAAAGGCTCATCCTTCTTCTCCTTCGGATCCGACAGCACGGTGTCTGATGCACAGTCGAGGACCCACACACCGTCGGAATCAGGGTTTCCGGGGGAAAGTTCAGGGTGTCGGCCTTTTGATGCGGAAGCTTTTCAGTTTTCGGCTTGCTGTGGAAGAAGCTTTGACAAGTAGCTGGCCTGGAGACAACAGAGACCCACGCTTTCAACGCCTTCTGCTAGAAGTCAGAGAAGTAGCCATGAATGACGACATGTATAGACCAGCAGAGCATGCGGACCTAACTTAAGTTCAAGACATGGCTTCACATCAGGGCGGTCTCACTACCCTGAAGCAATGGTACCCGAAGGTTTGAGGTTTGGGGATCCTTGAAGCATTCGGGTGACTAGCTCGGTGCAAAGAAGCCCGCCCACTTGGAGGTTCATGGGTAGTTATAAGTGGGTTTATAAGTCCCCTAGCATGGGTTATAAGTATAGTTACCCTACTTATAACCCCATTTATAACTACCCATGAACCTCCAAGCAGAAAAAGCACGAACAAATCCGCGAGGATGTCCACGATAAGCAACGCAGGGTCGATGCGCAACGAAATGGTTTCCTTCAAAGAAGACAAGGCTCAGGCGCGATTCTGGGCTGTTGGGCAGGTCCCAGGTACCTGCGAAGGGACGCTTTGGTAAACCCTGAACTTGTATGTAGTACAATATGCCCCCCAAACCCTATTCAAAGTATAAAGGCCCCTATACTAGGAGCCTCGAAGATGCTTGCCATGCGAAGGTGGTGGAGTACACGCCTCCGGAATGGAAAGACAAGAAGAGACGGATCATTCAGCCAGTTCGCAAGGCGCTTCGCACATTTGAGCTTGAAGCTTCGGTTGGACATAATGCAGACCACCGATTTCACGAACCCCTTGTTTTTAAGGGCCCCGTCATTTTTGCTTCTACGCTGGCGGGCTGTAAGCAGAGCCTTCTAGACCCTCCAACCCTTTAAGCCGTCGCCGTGTCGACACGGGCATGCTGTGACTTGAGCAAGGGAATTTCTGCATGTATGCGGCGAAGCCCAGACCACGATTTGGGCTCTCATCATTCTTCTTGTTATTATGATTATTGTTCGTCTTATTCTTGTTGTTGCTGTGGTTGTCGTGTACGTCTTTTTCCAATGGTTATTGCGAATTGCCTTGCCTTCGCAAGACAGTTGCATGTTACACTTATTATACACATACTGTGTTACATACACATACACAGAATCGTCCGTTGAGTGAACCCAACCGACAAAGTCTTTTGCTACTCAACGACGGGCTTGGCAGTCGACGCCTCGACAGTTTGACGGCAGGTGGATCTAAAGATTGCGTGGCAGATCCATGCAAAGGAACTGAAGAAGCGACCTGGCTTGTTCGAAAGATGGGAGTCTCAGAGGACTATATATAGGTATTATACTGATAATGGGTTCTTGAAAACACCCCATGCGTGCATGGGGTTTGATCAGAGTTTAGGATCTTCAGCTGTGACACGAAGAGATGTAGACCTTCATCCTGCTAGGGCCCCGAGCTTTAGGCCCACCCAGTAAGCGCTAGTCTGTTAAAGAGCCAGGGCTAGCTCAACGCAAAGCCAAAGCTAATGAATGATTGTCAGTGTGGTGAAGAAAGGATCGGAGCATAGTTGTAAATCCGATCACACGCTGGGGAATGGTTTGGATGTACAAGAGGTCAAGGCAGGAACAGTCTTTCGGTGACTTTTCACTTGCAGAAGCTCAACCTTCGTCCTAGCAGAAGTAGCAGTAGTAGCAGTAGCAGCGTAGCAGGAGAAGGAGCAGGAGCAGGAGCAGTAGCAGTAGCAGTAGAAGTAGGAGTAGTAGTAGTAGTAGTAGTAGTAGTAGTAGCAGCAGCAGCAGCAGCAGCAGCAGCAGTAGTAGCGAGCCTCAATTATGTCGCAGATTCCCAGGCAAGCCGCAGCAGACGAAGCATCTCAGCTGCGCGATAATAGATGTCAAAGCCTGCGAGGGTTCGGAATGCAGATTTTACGGCTTCGAGTTCGGTCGACGTGATGCATGCTCGCCTGAAGGGTTGGAGGGCCAACGTTCGCCGTGATGGTTCAGCTTTGCGGACGGTAGGGCTTTGACGTAGGAACTTAGGTAGGCCCATCTTCATGTATGGACGCATTATACGGTAACAGCAGTCAGTCGCTGAGCAGTTGGTAGCAAGCACACGAAAGTAGACCTCGAACCATACATCCAGCTGATGACCCAGCATCAGGCCCCAGAGTAGGCCCATTGCACATTGGCACGAACAACCCTAACCCCCCAGGTGCCTACTATATAGGGCCCTAGGGGCTCTAGTACCCTATATAGTAGGTACCTGGGGAGTTAGGGCAAGCTCGTTTGTCCTTGTTTACCACGCCGTTCCTGCACCCCAGACCGCAAAGCTGGATTCTCAAATGCCAAGCTCAGGAAACACGTCCCATCATGCGCCTGATCTATCGCAGTCGTTGCGATCACCTCTGGGAGATGAGCCTCTGGCTGAAGAGTATTTTGAAACATGACGGCAGGCTTAGGTAAGGTTTATACGGAACTTGCGTCAAGCCCCCGTGATAATCAAAGCAACGGCTTGCTGCATCCTACTGGGATCCATTAGTATAGATAGTTTTGAGCTAGCTATCGTGTGAATTCGGACTATATTCCCAAACCGCTTGCCGAAGCGCGTGTCATGGAATGCTATTGTTGTATCCCGGCTCGAGGTTGGACGACCCTGATTCGAGCATGGCGGCTTGGGCGGTTTCGCAGTTCTTGCATCTTGGCAAAGGAATAGGAATCTGCTAATGTAGGGGCCTCGGCCTAAATAATTACCTATAGAATTTTGGGGTTCCTTATTATAACTGTAGCATAATGGGCCCACAAACCTATTCTAATTATTAAGGTCCCCGACATTGGTGACTCTGTAGCAGGACTCCTCGAGCAGCTTTTTTGCCATTTCTGCCACTTCTCCTGCTGCAGCTGCAGCTGTTGCTACGATTACGACACGACGACAACAACTACGACGACGACCACGACCCGACATACTACAACGACTAGCACTGCGGCGACGATTGTGACGATACTGACGGTGACTGCTTCTTCTGCTACTCCTCCTGCTGCGCCTGCTGCGCCTGCTGC